GAGAGAGAGAGAGAGAGAGAGAGAGAGAGAGAGAGAGAGAGAGAGAGAGAGAGAGAGAGAGACTTAACAATATTCACACACAGAGAGAGAGAGAGAGAGAGAGAGAGAGAGAGAGAGGGAGAGAGAGAGAGAGAGAGAGATGGAGAAAGCACGGTCGTTCCACAAGTTTAGGCGGAGGGGCAAGCAGCTTCAATCTTCGCCGACGACGAAGGTAGCTTCCCCGCCGCGGCCATTGGCACCATCTTCACCATCTCAGACGCAGGCGCAGTTGACGACACCAAAGGAGAAGAAGTCTAGCGGTCCTCGCAGTAAGGTGATCGCCCTTCGTGCTAGCATTCGACTAAGGAGAGCGAAATTAGGATCCAGCGAATCTTGCACCACCTTCTCCGACACGTTTGGAGCTGGAATGGCCAAACTCCATGGATGGGCCTTGAAGAGGCGAATGCACAAGTGAGTGGGAGATGCGCACCCCCGCCTACTCCTGGTCATCGCCCTCCTCCTCCTCCTCCTCCTCTTCCTGCTTTTGGCCCTCCTCTCCTTGTCCTCGTCTTCCTGAAAACTCCATCGATGGGCCTTGAAGAGGCGAATGCACAAGTGAGTGGGAGATGCGCACCCCCGCCTACTCCTGGTCATCGCCCTCCTCCTCCTCCTCCTCCTCTTCCTGCTTTTGGCCCTCCTCTCCTTGTCCTCGTCTTCCTGAAAACTCCATCGATGGGCCTTGAAGAGGCGAATGCACAAGTGAGTGGGAGATGCGCACCCCCGCCTACTCCTGGTCATCGCCCTCCTCCTCCTCCTCCTCCTCTTCCTGCTTTTGGCCCTCCTCTCCTTGTCCTCGTCTTCCTGAAAACTCCATCGATGGGCCTTGAAGAGGCGAATGCACAAGTGAGTGGGAGATGCGCACCCCCGCCTACTCCTGGTCATCGCCCTCCTCCTCCTCCTCCTCCTCTTCCTGCTTTTGGCCCTCCTCTCCTTGTCCTCGTCTTCCTGAAAACTCCATCGATGGGCCTTGAAGAGGCGAATGCACAAGTGAGTGGGAGATGCGCACCCCCGCCTACTCCTGGTCATCGCCCTCCTCCTCCTCCTCCTCCTCTTCCTGCTTTTGGCCCTCCTCTCCTTGTCCTCGTCTTCCTGAAAACTCCATCGATGGGCCTTGAAGAGGCGAATGCACAAGTGAGTGGGAGATGCGCACCCCCGCCTACTCCTGGTCATCGCCCTCCTCCTCCTCCTCCTCCTCTTCCTGCTTTTGGCCCTCCTCTCCTTGTCCTCGTCTTCCTGAAAACTCCATCGATGGGCCTTGAAGAGGCGAATGCACAAGTGAGTGGGAGATGCGCACCCCCGCCTACTCCTGGTCATCGCCCTCCTCCTCCTCCTCCTCCTCTTCCTGCTTTTGGCCCTCCTCTCCTTGTCCTCGTCTTCCTGAAAACTCCATCGATGGGCCTTGAAGAGGCGAATGCACAAGTGAGTGGGAGATGCGCACCCCCGCCTACTCCTGGTCATCGCCCTCCTCCTCCTCCTCCTCCTCTTCCTGCTTTTGGCCCTCCTCTCCTTGTCCTCGTCTTCCTGAAAACTCCATCGATGGGCCTTGAAGAGGCGAATGCACAAGTGAGTGGGAGATGCGCACCCCCGCCTACTCCTGGTCATCGCCCTCCTCCTCCTCCTCCTCCTCTTCCTGCTTTTGGCCCTCCTCTCCTTGTCCTCGTCTTCCTGAAAACTCCATCGATGGGCCTTGAAGAGGCGAATGCACAAGTGAGTGGGAGATGCGCACCCCCGCCTACTCCTGGTCATCGCCCTCCTCCTCCTCCTCCTCCTCTTCCTGCTTTTGGCCCTCCTCTCCTTGTCCTCGTCTTCCTGAAAACTCCATCGATGGGCCTTGAAGAGGCGAATGCACAAGTGAGTGGGAGATGCGCACCCCCGCCTACTCCTGGTCATCGCCCTCCTCCTCCTCCTCCTCCTCTTCCTGCTTTTGGCCCTCCTCTCCTTGTCCTCGTCTTCCTGAAAACTCCATCGATGGGCCTTGAAGAGGCGAATGCACAAGTGAGTGGGAGATGCGCACCCCCGCCTACTCCTGGTCATCGCCCTCCTCCTCCTCCTCCTCCTCTTCCTGCTTTTGGCCCTCCTCTCCTTGTCCTCGTCTTCCTGAAAACTCCATCGATGGGCCTTGAAGAGGCGAATGCACAAGTGAGTGGGAGATGCGCACCCCCGCCTACTCCTGGTCATCGCCCTCCTCCTCCTCCTCCTCCTCTTCCTGCTTTTGGCCCTCCTCTCCTTGTCCTCGTCTTCCTGAAAACTCCATCGATGGGCCTTGAAGAGGCGAATGCACAAGTGAGTGGGAGATGCGCACCCCCGCCTACTCCTGGTCATCGCCCTCCTCCTCCTCCTCCTCCTCTTCCTGCTTTTGGCCCTCCTCTCCTTGTCCTCGTCTTCCTGAAAACTCCATCGATGGGCCTTGAAGAGGCGAATGCACAAGTGAGTGGGAGATGCGCACCCCCGCCTACTCCTGGTCATCGCCCTCCTCCTCCTCCTCCTCCTCTTCCTGCTTTTGGCCCTCCTCTCCTTGTCCTCGTCTTCCTGAAAACTCCATCGATGGGCCTTGAAGAGGCGAATGCACAAGTGAGTGGGAGATGCGCACCCCCGCCTACTCCTGGTCATCGCCCTCCTCCTCCTCCTCCTCCTCTTCCTGCTTTTGGCCCTCCTCTCCTTGTCCTCGTCTTCCTGAAAACTCCATCGATGGGCCTTGAAGAGGCGAATGCACAAGTGAGTGGGAGATGCGCACCCCCGCCTACTCCTGGTCATCGCCCTCCTCCTCCTCCTCCTCCTCTTCCTGCTTTTGGCCCTCCTCTCCTTGTCCTCGTCTTCCTGAAAACTCCATCGATGGGCCTTGAAGAGGCGAATGCACAAGTGAGTGGGAGATGCGCACCCCCGCCTACTCCTGGTCATCGCCCTCCTCCTCCTCCTCCTCCTCTTCCTGCTTTTGGCCCTCCTCTCCTTGTCCTCGTCTTCCTGAAAACTCCATCGATGGGCCTTGAAGAGGCGAATGCACAAGTGAGTGGGAGATGCGCACCCCCGCCTACTCCTGGTCATCGCCCTCCTCCTCCTCCTCCTCCTCTTCCTGCTTTTGGCCCTCCTCTCCTTGTCCTCGTCTTCCTGAAAACTCCATCGATGGGCCTTGAAGAGGCGAATGCACAAGTGAGTGGGAGATGCGCACCCCCGCCTACTCCTGGTCATCGCCCTCCTCCTCCTCCTCCTCCTCTTCCTGCTTTTGGCCCTCCTCTCCTTGTCCTCGTCTTCCTGAAAACTCCATCGATGGGCCTTGAAGAGGCGAATGCACAAGTGAGTGGGAGATGCGCACCCCCGCCTACTCCTGGTCATCGCCCTCCTCCTCCTCCTCCTCCTCTTCCTGCTTTTGGCCCTCCTCTCCTTGTCCTCGTCTTCCTGAAAACTCCATCGATGGGCCTTGAAGAGGCGAATGCACAAGTGAGTGGGAGATGCGCACCCCCGCCTACTCCTGGTCATCGCCCTCCTCCTCCTCCTCCTCCTCTTCCTGCTTTTGGCCCTCCTCTCCTTGTCCTCGTCTTCCTGAAAACTCCATCGATGGGCCTTGAAGAGGCGAATGCACAAGTGAGTGGGAGATGCGCACCCCCGCCTACTCCTGGTCATCGCCCTCCTCCTCCTCCTCCTCCTCTTCCTGCTTTTGGCCCTCCTCTCCTTGTCCTCGTCTTCCTGAAAACTCCATCGATGGGCCTTGAAGAGGCGAATGCACAAGTGAGTGGGAGATGCGCACCCCCGCCTACTCCTGGTCATCGCCCTCCTCCTCCTCCTCCTCCTCTTCCTGCTTTTGGCCCTCCTCTCCTTGTCCTCGTCTTCCTGAAAACTCCATCGATGGGCCTTGAAGAGGCGAATGCACAAGTGAGTGGGAGATGCGCACCCCCGCCTACTCCTGGTCATCGCCCTCCTCCTCCTCCTCCTCCTCTTCCTGCTTTTGGCCCTCCTCTCCTTGTCCTCGTCTTCCTGAAAACTCCATCGATGGGCCTTGAAGAGGCGAATGCACAAGTGAGTGGGAGATGCGCACCCCCGCCTACTCCTGGTCATCGCCCTCCTCCTCCTCCTCCTCCTCTTCCTGCTTTTGGCCCTCCTCTCCTTGTCCTCGTCTTCCTGAAAACTCCATCGATGGGCCTTGAAGAGGCGAATGCACAAGTGAGTGGGAGATGCGCACCCCCGCCTACTCCTGGTCATCGCCCTCCTCCTCCTCCTCCTCCTCTTCCTGCTTTTGGCCCTCCTCTCCTTGTCCTCGTCTTCCTGAAAACTCCATCGATGGGCCTTGAAGAGGCGAATGCACAAGTGAGTGGGAGATGCGCACCCCCGCCTACTCCTGGTCATCGCCCTCCTCCTCCTCCTCCTCCTCTTCCTGCTTTTGGCCCTCCTCTCCTTGTCCTCGTCTTCCTGAAAACTCCATCGATGGGCCTTGAAGAGGCGAATGCACAAGTGAGTGGGAGATGCGCACCCCCGCCTACTCCTGGTCATCGCCCTCCTCCTCCTCCTCCTCCTCTTCCTGCTTTTGGCCCTCCTCTCCTTGTCCTCGTCTTCCTGAAAACTCCATCGATGGGCCTTGAAGAGGCGAATGCACAAGTGAGTGGGAGATGCGCACCCCCGCCTACTCCTGGTCATCGCCCTCCTCCTCCTCCTCCTCCTCTTCCTGCTTTTGGCCCTCCTCTCCTTGTCCTCGTCTTCCTGAAAACTCCATCGATGGGCCTTGAAGAGGCGAATGCACAAGTGAGTGGGAGATGCGCACCCCCGCCTACTCCTGGTCATCGCCCTCCTCCTCCTCCTCCTCCTCTTCCTGCTTTTGGCCCTCCTCTCCTTGTCCTCGTCTTCCTGAAAACTCCATCGATGGGCCTTGAAGAGGCGAATGCACAAGTGAGTGGGAGATGCGCACCCCCGCCTACTCCTGGTCATCGCCCTCCTCCTCCTCCTCCTCCTCTTCCTGCTTTTGGCCCTCCTCTCCTTGTCCTCGTCTTCCTGAAAACTCCATCGATGGGCCTTGAAGAGGCGAATGCACAAGTGAGTGGGAGATGCGCACCCCCGCCTACTCCTGGTCATCGCCCTCCTCCTCCTCCTCCTCCTCTTCCTGCTTTTGGCCCTCCTCTCCTTGTCCTCGTCTTCCTGAAAACTCCATCGATGGGCCTTGAAGAGGCGAATGCACAAGTGAGTGGGAGATGCGCACCCCCGCCTACTCCTGGTCATCGCCCTCCTCCTCCTCCTCCTCCTCTTCCTGCTTTTGGCCCTCCTCTCCTTGTCCTCGTCTTCCTGAAAACTCCATCGATGGGCCTTGAAGAGGCGAATGCACAAGTGAGTGGGAGATGCGCACCCCCGCCTACTCCTGGTCATCGCCCTCCTCCTCCTCCTCCTCCTCTTCCTGCTTTTGGCCCTCCTCTCCTTGTCCTCGTCTTCCTGAAAACTCCATCGATGGGCCTTGAAGAGGCGAATGCACAAGTGAGTGGGAGATGCGCACCCCCGCCTACTCCTGGTCATCGCCCTCCTCCTCCTCCTCCTCCTCTTCCTGCTTTTGGCCCTCCTCTCCTTGTCCTCGTCTTCCTGAAAACTCCATCGATGGGCCTTGAAGAGGCGAATGCACAAGTGAGTGGGAGATGCGCACCCCCGCCTACTCCTGGTCATCGCCCTCCTCCTCCTCCTCCTCCTCTTCCTGCTTTTGGCCCTCCTCTCCTTGTCCTCGTCTTCCTGAAAACTCCATCGATGGGCCTTGAAGAGGCGAATGCACAAGTGAGTGGGAGATGCGCACCCCCGCCTACTCCTGGTCATCGCCCTCCTCCTCCTCCTCCTCCTCTTCCTGCTTTTGGCCCTCCTCTCCTTGTCCTCGTCTTCCTGAAAACTCCATCGATGGGCCTTGAAGAGGCGAATGCACAAGTGAGTGGGAGATGCGCACCCCCGCCTACTCCTGGTCATCGCCCTCCTCCTCCTCCTCCTCCTCTTCCTGCTTTTGGCCCTCCTCTCCTTGTCCTCGTCTTCCTGAAAACTCCATCGATGGGCCTTGAAGAGGCGAATGCACAAGTGAGTGGGAGATGCGCACCCCCGCCTACTCCTGGTCATCGCCCTCCTCCTCCTCCTCCTCCTCTTCCTGCTTTTGGCCCTCCTCTCCTTGTCCTCGTCTTCCTGAAAACTCCATCGATGGGCCTTGAAGAGGCGAATGCACAAGTGAGTGGGAGATGCGCACCCCCGCCTACTCCTGGTCATCGCCCTCCTCCTCCTCCTCCTCCTCTTCCTGCTTTTGGCCCTCCTCTCCTTGTCCTCGTCTTCCTGAAAACTCCATCGATGGGCCTTGAAGAGGCGAATGCACAAGTGAGTGGGAGATGCGCACCCCCGCCTACTCCTGGTCATCGCCCTCCTCCTCCTCCTCCTCCTCTTCCTGCTTTTGGCCCTCCTCTCCTTGTCCTCGTCTTCCTGAAAACTCCATCGATGGGCCTTGAAGAGGCGAATGCACAAGTGAGTGGGAGATGCGCACCCCCGCCTACTCCTGGTCATCGCCCTCCTCCTCCTCCTCCTCCTCTTCCTGCTTTTGGCCCTCCTCTCCTTGTCCTCGTCTTCCTGAAAACTCCATCGATGGGCCTTGAAGAGGCGAATGCACAAGTGAGTGGGAGATGCGCACCCCCGCCTACTCCTGGTCATCGCCCTCCTCCTCCTCCTCCTCCTCTTCCTGCTTTTGGCCCTCCTCTCCTTGTCCTCGTCTTCCTGAAAACTCCATCGATGGGCCTTGAAGAGGCGAATGCACAAGTGAGTGGGAGATGCGCACCCCCGCCTACTCCTGGTCATCGCCCTCCTCCTCCTCCTCCTCCTCTTCCTGCTTTTGGCCCTCCTCTCCTTGTCCTCGTCTTCCTGAAAACTCCATCGATGGGCCTTGAAGAGGCGAATGCACAAGTGAGTGGGAGATGCGCACCCCCGCCTACTCCTGGTCATCGCCCTCCTCCTCCTCCTCCTCCTCTTCCTGCTTTTGGCCCTCCTCTCCTTGTCCTCGTCTTCCTGAAAACTCCATCGATGGGCCTTGAAGAGGCGAATGCACAAGTGAGTGGGAGATGCGCACCCCCGCCTACTCCTGGTCATCGCCCTCCTCCTCCTCCTCCTCCTCTTCCTGCTTTTGGCCCTCCTCTCCTTGTCCTCGTCTTCCTGAAAACTCCATCGATGGGCCTTGAAGAGGCGAATGCACAAGTGAGTGGGAGATGCGCACCCCCGCCTACTCCTGGTCATCGCCCTCCTCCTCCTCCTCCTCCTCTTCCTGCTTTTGGCCCTCCTCTCCTTGTCCTCGTCTTCCTGAAAACTCCATCGATGGGCCTTGAAGAGGCGAATGCACAAGTGAGTGGGAGATGCGCACCCCCGCCTACTCCTGGTCATCGCCCTCCTCCTCCTCCTCCTCCTCTTCCTGCTTTTGGCCCTCCTCTCCTTGTCCTCGTCTTCCTGAAAACTCCATCGATGGGCCTTGAAGAGGCGAATGCACAAGTGAGTGGGAGATGCGCACCCCCGCCTACTCCTGGTCATCGCCCTCCTCCTCCTCCTCCTCCTCTTCCTGCTTTTGGCCCTCCTCTCCTTGTCCTCGTCTTCCTGAAAACTCCATCGATGGGCCTTGAAGAGGCGAATGCACAAGTGAGTGGGAGATGCGCACCCCCGCCTACTCCTGGTCATCGCCCTCCTCCTCCTCCTCCTCCTCTTCCTGCTTTTGGCCCTCCTCTCCTTGTCCTCGTCTTCCTGAAAACTCCATCGATGGGCCTTGAAGAGGCGAATGCACAAGTGAGTGGGAGATGCGCACCCCCGCCTACTCCTGGTCATCGCCCTCCTCCTCCTCCTCCTCCTCTTCCTGCTTTTGGCCCTCCTCTCCTTGTCCTCGTCTTCCTGAAAACTCCATCGATGGGCCTTGAAGAGGCGAATGCACAAGTGAGTGGGAGATGCGCACCCCCGCCTACTCCTGGTCATCGCCCTCCTCCTCCTCCTCCTCCTCTTCCTGCTTTTGGCCCTCCTCTCCTTGTCCTCGTCTTCCTGAAAACTCCATCGATGGGCCTTGAAGAGGCGAATGCACAAGTGAGTGGGAGATGCGCACCCCCGCCTACTCCTGGTCATCGCCCTCCTCCTCCTCCTCCTCCTCTTCCTGCTTTTGGCCCTCCTCTCCTTGTCCTCGTCTTCCTGAAAACTCCATCGATGGGCCTTGAAGAGGCGAATGCACAAGTGAGTGGGAGATGCGCACCCCCGCCTACTCCTGGTCATCGCCCTCCTCCTCCTCCTCCTCCTCTTCCTGCTTTTGGCCCTCCTCTCCTTGTCCTCGTCTTCCTGAAAACTCCATCGATGGGCCTTGAAGAGGCGAATGCACAAGTGAGTGGGAGATGCGCACCCCCGCCTACTCCTGGTCATCGCCCTCCTCCTCCTCCTCCTCCTCTTCCTGCTTTTGGCCCTCCTCTCCTTGTCCTCGTCTTCCTGAAAACTCCATCGATGGGCCTTGAAGAGGCGAATGCACAAGTGAGTGGGAGATGCGCACCCCCGCCTACTCCTGGTCATCGCCCTCCTCCTCCTCCTCCTCCTCTTCCTGCTTTTGGCCCTCCTCTCCTTGTCCTCGTCTTCCTGAAAACTCCATCGATGGGCCTTGAAGAGGCGAATGCACAAGTGAGTGGGAGATGCGCACCCCCGCCTACTCCTGGTCATCGCCCTCCTCCTCCTCCTCCTCCTCTTCCTGCTTTTGGCCCTCCTCTCCTTGTCCTCGTCTTCCTGAAAACTCCATCGATGGGCCTTGAAGAGGCGAATGCACAAGTGAGTGGGAGATGCGCACCCCCGCCTACTCCTGGTCATCGCCCTCCTCCTCCTCCTCCTCCTCTTCCTGCTTTTGGCCCTCCTCTCCTTGTCCTCGTCTTCCTGAAAACTCCATCGATGGGCCTTGAAGAGGCGAATGCACAAGTGAGTGGGAGATGCGCACCCCCGCCTACTCCTGGTCATCGCCCTCCTCCTCCTCCTCCTCCTCTTCCTGCTTTTGGCCCTCCTCTCCTTGTCCTCGTCTTCCTGAAAACTCCATCGATGGGCCTTGAAGAGGCGAATGCACAAGTGAGTGGGAGATGCGCACCCCCGCCTACTCCTGGTCATCGCCCTCCTCCTCCTCCTCCTCCTCTTCCTGCTTTTGGCCCTCCTCTCCTTGTCCTCGTCTTCCTGAAAACTCCATCGATGGGCCTTGAAGAGGCGAATGCACAAGTGAGTGGGAGATGCGCACCCCCGCCTACTCCTGGTCATCGCCCTCCTCCTCCTCCTCCTCCTCTTCCTGCTTTTGGCCCTCCTCTCCTTGTCCTCGTCTTCCTGAAAACTCCATCGATGGGCCTTGAAGAGGCGAATGCACAAGTGAGTGGGAGATGCGCACCCCCGCCTACTCCTGGTCATCGCCCTCCTCCTCCTCCTCCTCCTCTTCCTGCTTTTGGCCCTCCTCTCCTTGTCCTCGTCTTCCTGAAAACTCCATCGATGGGCCTTGAAGAGGCGAATGCACAAGTGAGTGGGAGATGCGCACCCCCGCCTACTCCTGGTCATCGCCCTCCTCCTCCTCCTCCTCCTCTTCCTGCTTTTGGCCCTCCTCTCCTTGTCCTCGTCTTCCTGAAAACTCCATCGATGGGCCTTGAAGAGGCGAATGCACAAGTGAGTGGGAGATGCGCACCCCCGCCTACTCCTGGTCATCGCCCTCCTCCTCCTCCTCCTCCTCTTCCTGCTTTTGGCCCTCCTCTCCTTGTCCTCGTCTTCCTGAAAACTCCATCGATGGGCCTTGAAGAGGCGAATGCACAAGTGAGTGGGAGATGCGCACCCCCGCCTACTCCTGGTCATCGCCCTCCTCCTCCTCCTCCTCCTCTTCCTGCTTTTGGCCCTCCTCTCCTTGTCCTCGTCTTCCTGAAAACTCCATCGATGGGCCTTGAAGAGGCGAATGCACAAGTGAGTGGGAGATGCGCACCCCCGCCTACTCCTGGTCATCGCCCTCCTCCTCCTCCTCCTCCTCTTCCTGCTTTTGGCCCTCCTCTCCTTGTCCTCGTCTTCCTGAAAACTCCATCGATGGGCCTTGAAGAGGCGAATGCACAAGTGAGTGGGAGATGCGCACCCCCGCCTACTCCTGGTCATCGCCCTCCTCCTCCTCCTCCTCCTCTTCCTGCTTTTGGCCCTCCTCTCCTTGTCCTCGTCTTCCTGAAAACTCCATCGATGGGCCTTGAAGAGGCGAATGCACAAGTGAGTGGGAGATGCGCACCCCCGCCTACTCCTGGTCATCGCCCTCCTCCTCCTCCTCCTCCTCTTCCTGCTTTTGGCCCTCCTCTCCTTGTCCTCGTCTTCCTGAAAACTCCATCGATGGGCCTTGAAGAGGCGAATGCACAAGTGAGTGGGAGATGCGCACCCCCGCCTACTCCTGGTCATCGCCCTCCTCCTCCTCCTCCTCCTCTTCCTGCTTTTGGCCCTCCTCTCCTTGTCCTCGTCTTCCTGAAAACTCCATCGATGGGCCTTGAAGAGGCGAATGCACAAGTGAGTGGGAGATGCGCACCCCCGCCTACTCCTGGTCATCGCCCTCCTCCTCCTCCTCCTCCTCTTCCTGCTTTTGGCCCTCCTCTCCTTGTCCTCGTCTTCCTGAAAACTCCATCGATGGGCCTTGAAGAGGCGAATGCACAAGTGAGTGGGAGATGCGCACCCCCGCCTACTCCTGGTCATCGCCCTCCTCCTCCTCCTCCTCCTCTTCCTGCTTTTGGCCCTCCTCTCCTTGTCCTCGTCTTCCTGAAAACTCCATCGATGGGCCTTGAAGAGGCGAATGCACAAGTGAGTGGGAGATGCGCACCCCCGCCTACTCCTGGTCATCGCCCTCCTCCTCCTCCTCCTCCTCTTCCTGCTTTTGGCCCTCCTCTCCTTGTCCTCGTCTTCCTGAAAACTCCATCGATGGGCCTTGAAGAGGCGAATGCACAAGTGAGTGGGAGATGCGCACCCCCGCCTACTCCTGGTCATCGCCCTCCTCCTCCTCCTCCTCCTCTTCCTGCTTTTGGCCCTCCTCTCCTTGTCCTCGTCTTCCTGAAAACTCCATCGATGGGCCTTGAAGAGGCGAATGCACAAGTGAGTGGGAGATGCGCACCCCCGCCTACTCCTGGTCATCGCCCTCCTCCTCCTCCTCCTCCTCTTCCTGCTTTTGGCCCTCCTCTCCTTGTCCTCGTCTTCCTGAAAACTCCATCGATGGGCCTTGAAGAGGCGAATGCACAAGTGAGTGGGAGATGCGCACCCCCGCCTACTCCTGGTCATCGCCCTCCTCCTCCTCCTCCTCCTCTTCCTGCTTTTGGCCCTCCTCTCCTTGTCCTCGTCTTCCTGAAAACTCCATCGATGGGCCTTGAAGAGGCGAATGCACAAGTGAGTGGGAGATGCGCACCCCCGCCTACTCCTGGTCATCGCCCTCCTCCTCCTCCTCCTCCTCTTCCTGCTTTTGGCCCTCCTCTCCTTGTCCTCGTCTTCCTGAAAACTCCATCGATGGGCCTTGAAGAGGCGAATGCACAAGTGAGTGGGAGATGCGCACCCCCGCCTACTCCTGGTCATCGCCCTCCTCCTCCTCCTCCTCCTCTTCCTGCTTTTGGCCCTCCTCTCCTTGTCCTCGTCTTCCTGAAAACTCCATCGATGGGCCTTGAAGAGGCGAATGCACAAGTGAGTGGGAGATGCGCACCCCCGCCTACTCCTGGTCATCGCCCTCCTCCTCCTCCTCCTCCTCTTCCTGCTTTTGGCCCTCCTCTCCTTGTCCTCGTCTTCCTGAAAACTCCATCGATGGGCCTTGAAGAGGCGAATGCACAAGTGAGTGGGAGATGCGCACCCCCGCCTACTCCTGGTCATCGCCCTCCTCCTCCTCCTCCTCCTCTTCCTGCTTTTGGCCCTCCTCTCCTTGTCCTCGTCTTCCTGAAAACTCCATCGATGGGCCTTGAAGAGGCGAATGCACAAGTGAGTGGGAGATGCGCACCCCCGCCTACTCCTGGTCATCGCCCTCCTCCTCCTCCTCCTCCTCTTCCTGCTTTTGGCCCTCCTCTCCTTGTCCTCGTCTTCCTGAAAACTCCATCGATGGGCCTTGAAGAGGCGAATGCACAAGTGAGTGGGAGATGCGCACCCCCGCCTACTCCTGGTCATCGCCCTCCTCCTCCTCCTCCTCCTCTTCCTGCTTTTGGCCCTCCTCTCCTTGTCCTCGTCTTCCTGAAAACTCCATCGATGGGCCTTGAAGAGGCGAATGCACAAGTGAGTGGGAGATGCGCACCCCCGCCTACTCCTGGTCATCGCCCTCCTCCTCCTCCTCCTCCTCTTCCTGCTTTTGGCCCTCCTCTCCTTGTCCTCGTCTTCCTGAAAACTCCATCGATGGGCCTTGAAGAGGCGAATGCACAAGTGAGTGGGAGATGCGCACCCCCGCCTACTCCTGGTCATCGCCCTCCTCCTCCTCCTCCTCCTCTTCCTGCTTTTGGCCCTCCTCTCCTTGTCCTCGTCTTCCTGAAAACTCCATCGATGGGCCTTGAAGAGGCGAATGCACAAGTGAGTGGGAGATGCGCACCCCCGCCTACTCCTGGTCATCGCCCTCCTCCTCCTCCTCCTCCTCTTCCTGCTTTTGGCCCTCCTCTCCTTGTCCTCGTCTTCCTGAAAACTCCATCGATGGGCCTTGAAGAGGCGAATGCACAAGTGAGTGGGAGATGCGCACCCCCGCCTACTCCTGGTCATCGCCCTCCTCCTCCTCCTCCTCCTCTTCCTGCTTTTGGCCCTCCTCTCCTTGTCCTCGTCTTCCTGAAAACTCCATCGATGGGCCTTGAAGAGGCGAATGCACAAGTGAGTGGGAGATGCGCACCCCCGCCTACTCCTGGTCATCGCCCTCCTCCTCCTCCTCCTCCTCTTCCTGCTTTTGGCCCTCCTCTCCTTGTCCTCGTCTTCCTGAAAACTCCATCGATGGGCCTTGAAGAGGCGAATGCACAAGTGAGTGGGAGATGCGCACCCCCGCCTACTCCTGGTCATCGCCCTCCTCCTCCTCCTCCTCCTCTTCCTGCTTTTGGCCCTCCTCTCCTTGTCCTCGTCTTCCTGAAAACTCCATCGATGGGCCTTGAAGAGGCGAATGCACAAGTGAGTGGGAGATGCGCACCCCCGCCTACTCCTGGTCATCGCCCTCCTCCTCCTCCTCCTCCTCTTCCTGCTTTTGGCCCTCCTCTCCTTGTCCTCGTCTTCCTGAAAACTCCATCGATGGGCCTTGAAGAGGCGAATGCACAAGTGAGTGGGAGATGCGCACCCCCGCCTACTCCTGGTCATCGCCCTCCTCCTCCTCCTCCTCCTCTTCCTGCTTTTGGCCCTCCTCTCCTTGTCCTCGTCTTCCTGAAAACTCCATCGATGGGCCTTGAAGAGGCGAATGCACAAGTGAGTGGGAGATGCGCACCCCCGCCTACTCCTGGTCATCGCCCTCCTCCTCCTCCTCCTCCTCTTCCTGCTTTTGGCCCTCCTCTCCTTGTCCTCGTCTTCCTGAAAACTCCATCGATGGGCCTTGAAGAGGCGAATGCACAAGTGAGTGGGAGATGCGCACCCCCGCCTACTCCTGGTCATCGCCCTCCTCCTCCTCCTCCTCCTCTTCCTGCTTTTGGCCCTCCTCTCCTTGTCCTCGTCTTCCTGAAAACTCCATCGATGGGCCTTGAAGAGGCGAATGCACAAGTGAGTGGGAGATGCGCACCCCCGCCTACTCCTGGTCATCGCCCTCCTCCTCCTCCTCCTCCTCTTCCTGCTTTTGGCCCTCCTCTCCTTGTCCTCGTCTTCCTGAAAACTCCATCGATGGGCCTTGAAGAGGCGAATGCACAAGTGAGTGGGAGATGCGCACCCCCGCCTACTCCTGGTCATCGCCCTCCTCCTCCTCCTCCTCCTCTTCCTGCTTTTGGCCCTCCTCTCCTTGTCCTCGTCTTCCTGAAAACTCCATCGATGGGCCTTGAAGAGGCGAATGCACAAGTGAGTGGGAGATGCGCACCCCCGCCTACTCCTGGTCATCGCCCTCCTCCTCCTCCTCCTCCTCTTCCTGCTTTTGGCCCTCCTCTCCTTGTCCTCGTCTTCCTGAAAACTCCATCGATGGGCCTTGAAGAGGCGAATGCACAAGTGAGTGGGAGATGCGCACCCCCGCCTACTCCTGGTCATCGCCCTCCTCCTCCTCCTCCTCCTCTTCCTGCTTTTGGCCCTCCTCTCCTTGTCCTCGTCTTCCTGAAAACTCCATCGATGGGCCTTGAAGAGGCGAATGCACAAGTGAGTGGGAGATGCGCACCCCCGCCTACTCCTGGTCATCGCCCTCCTCCTCCTCCTCCTCCTCTTCCTGCTTTTGGCCCTCCTCTCCTTGTCCTCGTCTTCCTGAAAACTCCATCGATGGGCCTTGAAGAGGCGAATGCACAAGTGAGTGGGAGATGCGCACCCCCGCCTACTCCTGGTCATCGCCCTCCTCCTCCTCCTCCTCCTCTTCCTGCTTTTGGCCCTCCTCTCCTTGTCCTCGTCTTCCTGAAAACTCCATCGATGGGCCTTGAAGAGGCGAATGCACAAGTGAGTGGGAGATGCGCACCCCCGCCTACTCCTGGTCATCGCCCTCCTCCTCCTCCTCCTCCTCTTCCTGCTTTTGGCCCTCCTCTCCTTGTCCTCGTCTTCCTGAAAACTCCATCGATGGGCCTTGAAGAGGCGAATGCACAAGTGAGTGGGAGATGCGCACCCCCGCCTACTCCTGGTCATCGCCCTCCTCCTCCTCCTCCTCCTCTTCCTGCTTTTGGCCCTCCTCTCCTTGTCCTCGTCTTCCTGAAAACTCCATCGATGGGCCTTGAAGAGGCGAATGCACAAGTGAGTGGGAGATGCGCACCCCCGCCTACTCCTGGTCATCGCCCTCCTCCTCCTCCTCCTCCTCTTCCTGCTTTTGGCCCTCCTCTCCTTGTCCTCGTCTTCCTGAAAACTCCATCGATGGGCCTTGAAGAGGCGAATGCACAAGTGAGTGGGAGATGCGCACCCCCGCCTACTCCTGGTCATCGCCCTCCTCCTCCTCCTCCTCCTCTTCCTGCTTTTGGCCCTCCTCTCCTTGTCCTCGTCTTCCTGAAAACTCCATCGATGGGCCTTGAAGAGGCGAATGCACAAGTGAGTGGGAGATGCGCACCCCCGCCTACTCCTGGTCATCGCCCTCCTCCTCCTCCTCCTCCTCTTCCTGCTTTTGGCCCTCCTCTCCTTGTCCTCGTCTTCCTGAAAACTCCATCGATGGGCCTTGAAGAGGCGAATGCACAAGTGAGTGGGAGATGCGCACCCCCGCCTACTCCTGGTCATCGCCCTCCTCCTCCTCCTCCTCCTCTTCCTGCTTTTGGCCCTCCTCTCCTTGTCCTCGTCTTCCTGAAAACTCCATCGATGGGCCTTGAAGAGGCGAATGCACAAGTGAGTGGGAGATGCGCACCCCCGCCTACTCCTGGTCATCGCCCTCCTCCTCCTCCTCCTCCTCTTCCTGCTTTTGGCCCTCCTCTCCTTGTCCTCGTCTTCCTGAAAACTCCATCGATGGGCCTTGAAGAGGCGAATGCACAAGTGAGTGGGAGATGCGCACCCCCGCCTACTCCTGGTCATCGCCCTCCTCCTCCTCCTCCTCCTCTTCCTGCTTTTGGCCCTCCTCTCCTTGTCCTCGTCTTCCTGAAAACTCCATCGATGGGCCTTGAAGAGGCGAATGCACAAGTGAGTGGGAGATGCGCACCCCCGCCTACTCCTGGTCATCGCCCTCCTCCTCCTCCTCCTCCTCTTCCTGCTTTTGGCCCTCCTCTCCTTGTCCTCGTCTTCCTGAAAACTCCATCGATGGGCCTTGAAGAGGCGAATGCACAAGTGAGTGGGAGATGCGCACCCCCGCCTACTCCTGGTCATCGCCCTCCTCCTCCTCCTCCTCCTCTTCCTGCTTTTGGCCCTCCTCTCCTTGTCCTCGTCTTCCTGAAAACTCCATCGATGGGCCTTGAAGAGGCGAATGCACAAGTGAGTGGGAGATGCGCACCCCCGCCTACTCCTGGTCATCGCCCTCCTCCTCCTCCTCCTCCTCTTCCTGCTTTTGGCCCTCCTCTCCTTGTCCTCGTCTTCCTGAAAACTCCATCGATGGGCCTTGAAGAGGCGAATGCACAAGTGAGTGGGAGATGCGCACCCCCGCCTACTCCTGGTCATCGCCCTCCTCCTCCTCCTCCTCCTCTTCCTGCTTTTGGCCCTCCTCTCCTTGTCCTCGTCTTCCTGAAAACTCCATCGATGGGCCTTGAAGAGGCGAATGCACAAGTGAGTGGGAGATGCGCACCCCCGCCTACTCCTGGTCATCGCCCTCCTCCTCCTCCTCCTCCTCTTCCTGCTTTTGGCCCTCCTCTCCTTGTCCTCGTCTTCCTGAAAACTCCATCGATGGGCCTTGAAGAGGCGAATGCACAAGTGAGTGGGAGATGCGCACCCCCGCCTACTCCTGGTCATCGCCCTCCTCCTCCTCCTCCTCCTCTTCCTGCTTTTGGCCCTCCTCTCCTTGTCCTCGTCTTCCTGAAAACTCCATCGATGGGCCTTGAAGAGGCGAATGCACAAGTGAGTGGGAGATGCGCACCCCCGCCTACTCCTGGTCATCGCCCTCCTCCTCCTCCTCCTCCTCTTCCTGCTTTTGGCCCTCCTCTCCTTGTCCTCGTCTTCCTGAAAACTCCATCGATGGGCCTTGAAGAGGCGAATGCACAAGTGAGTGGGAGATGCGCACCCCCGCCTACTCCTGGTCATCGCCCTCCTCCTCCTCCTCCTCCTCTTCCTGCTTTTGGCCCTCCTCTCCTTGTCCTCGTCTTCCTGAAAACTCCATCGATGGGCCTTGAAGAGGCGAATGCACAAGTGAGTGGGAGATGCGCACCCCCGCCTACTCCTGGTCATCGCCCTCCTCCTCCTCCTCCTCCTCTTCCTGCTTTTGGCCCTCCTCTCCTTGTCCTCGTCTTCCTGAAAACTCCATCGATGGGCCTTGAAGAGGCGAATGCACAAGTGAGTGGGAGATGCGCACCCCCGCCTACTCCTGGTCATCGCCCTCCTCCTCCTCCTCCTCCTCTTCCTGCTTTTGGCCCTCCTCTCCTTGTCCTCGTCTTCCTGAAAACTCCATCGATGGGCCTTGAAGAGGCGAATGCACAAGTGAGTGGGAGATGCGCACCCCCGCCTACTCCTGGTCATCGCCCTCCTCCTCCTCCTCCTCCTCTTCCTGCTTTTGGCCCTCCTCTCCTTGTCCTCGTCTTCCTGAAAACTCCATCGATGGGCCTTGAAGAGGCGAATGCACAAGTGAGTGGGAGATGCGCACCCCCGCCTACTCCTGGTCATCGCCCTCCTCCTCCTCCTCCTCCTCTTCCTGCTTTTGGCCCTCCTCTCCTTGTCCTCGTCTTCCTGAAAACTCCATCGATGGGCCTTGAAGAGGCGAATGCACAAGTGAGTGGGAGATGCGCACCCCCGCCTACTCCTGGTCATCGCCCTCCTCCTCCTCCTCCTCCTCTTCCTGCTTTTGGCCCTCCTCTCCTTGTCCTCGTCTTCCTGAAAACTCCATCGATGGGCCTTGAAGAGGCGAATGCACAAGTGAGTGGGAGATGCGCACCCCCGCCTACTCCTGGTCATCGCCCTCCTCCTCCTCCTCCTCCTCTTCCTGCTTTTGGCCCTCCTCTCCTTGTCCTCGTCTTCCTGAAAACTCCATCGATGGGCCTTGAAGAGGCGAATGCACAAGTGAGTGGGAGATGCGCACCCCCGCCTACTCCTGGTCATCGCCCTCCTCCTCCTCCTCCTCCTCTTCCTGCTTTTGGCCCTCCTCTCCTTGTCCTCGTCTTCCTGAAAACTCCATCGATGGGCCTTGAAGAGGCGAATGCACAAGTGAGTGGGAGATGCGCACCCCCGCCTACTCCTGGTCATCGCCCTCCTCCTCCTCCTCCTCCTCTTCCTGCTTTTGGCCCTCCTCTCCTTGTCCTCGTCTTCCTGAAAACTCCATCGATGGGCCTTGAAGAGGCGAATGCACAAGTGAGTGGGAGATGCGCACCCCCGCCTACTCCTGGTCATCGCCCTCCTCCTCCTCCTCCTCCTCTTCCTGCTTTTGGCCCTCCTCTCCTTGTCCTCGTCTTCCTGAAAACTCCATCGATGGGCCTTGAAGAGGCGAATGCACAAGTGAGTGGGAGATGCGCACCCCCGCCTACTCCTGGTCATCGCCCTCCTCCTCCTCCTCCTCCTCTTCCTGCTTTTGGCCCTCCTCTCCTTGTCCTCGTCTTCCTGAAAACTCCATCGATGGGCCTTGAAGAGGCGAATGCACAAGTGAGTGGGAGATGCGCACCCCCGCCTACTCCTGGTCATCGCCCTCCTCCTCCTCCTCCTCCTCTTCCTGCTTTTGGCCCTCCTCTCCTTGTCCTCGTCTTCCTGAAAACTCCATCGATGGGCCTTGAAGAGGCGAATGCACAAGTGAGTGGGAGATGCGCACCCCCGCCTACTCCTGGTCATCGCCCTCCTCCTCCTCCTCCTCCTCTTCCTGCTTTTGGCCCTCCTCTCCTTGTCCTCGTCTTCCTGAAAACTCCATCGATGGGCCTTGAAGAGGCGAATGCACAAGTGAGTGGGAGATGCGCACCCCCGCCTACTCCTGGTCATCGCCCTCCTCCTCCTCCTCCTCCTCTTCCTGCTTTTGGCCCTCCTCTCCTTGTCCTCGTCTTCCTGAAAACTCCATCGATGGGCCTTGAAGAGGCGAATGCACAAGTGAGTGGGAGATGCGCACCCCCGCCTACTCCTGGTCATCGCCCTCCTCCTCCTCCTCCTCCTCTTCCTGCTTTTGGCCCTCCTCTCCTTGTCCTCGTCTTCCTGAAAACTCCATCGATGGGCCTTGAAGAGGCGAATGCACAAGTGAGTGGGAGATGCGCACCCCCGCCTACTCCTGGTCATCGCCCTCCTCCTCCTCCTCCTCCTCTTCCTGCTTTTGGCCCTCCTCTCCTTGTCCTCGTCTTCCTGAAAACTCCATCGATGGGCCTTGAAGAGGCGAATGCACAAGTGAGTGGGAGATGCGCACCCCCGCCTACTCCTGGTCATCGCCCTCCTCCTCCTCCTCCTCCTCTTCCTGCTTTTGGCCCTCCTCTCCTTGTCCTCGTCTTCCTGAAAACTCCATCGATGGGCCTTGAAGAGGCGATTGCACAACCGAGTGGGGGATGCCGCCCCCCCCCCCTCCGGCCCTCTGATCCTCCTGATCTTCCTCCTCCTCCTTCTCGTCCTTCCTCCTACTATCGTTGTCCTCGTCGTCCTCTTCCTCTCCTTGCCCTTCTTCTCCGCCTTATCCTCCTCTCCTTGTCCTTGTCCTCCTCTTCCCCCTCCTTTTGGCCCCCCTCCTGTGCTTTTCCTGCTCTATAAACTCCACGAAGGCCCCTTGCACAAGCGGATGCACAAGATGCACACCTTCCTCCCCCCGCCCGAAGTGCTCCTGGTCTTCATCTCCTCCTCCTCTTCCTTATCCTCCTCTTCCTGTCATCGTCGTCCTCCTCCTCCTGGCCCTGCTTTGCCCCTCCTTCCCTTTTCCTCCTTCTCAAACTCTGGTTGGGGCTATAAGAGGCGAACGCGCAAGTGAGTGGGCGATGGCCCCCCCCGTCCGCCCCCCCGCTGTCCTCGTTCTCCTCCTCCTCCCCCCACTCCTCCTTACCCTCCCCCTCCCTTGTCCCCTCCTCTCCTTGTTATCTTACTCCTCGCTCCCCTCGTTCTCTTCCTCTTGCTTCTCCTCTGTCTTTTCTGCCCTCTGTGCTTCCTACTCCCTCCCTTCCTGGTACGTTTTTCTTGATGTCCCCCTGATGGATCTTTCCCCCCATCTATCCGCCCCCCTTTCCCCCCGCTTCCCCGCTCCCCCCCCTGCCCACCCAACGTACACCTAATCCCCTCTATCATAGCTATTGCGGAGCTATGAGCAAGATGAGCTGCGGGCATGTAGCTTTCAAACTTGTTCCCACCGTTCCTATGCTGGAGCTATGCCGCCGAAGCAATACCGACGTTATGCCGAAGCCTGCCATCCTCGCCCGAATCGAACGCCGTGTGCTTATATAGCTCTACCGGGTCCAACCTTTTTTTTTTTTTTTTTTTTTTTCGGTCTAGCTCTCAGCTTTTCACTCTAGATCTATCGATAATGACCGGCATAGGAAAGCCCCGTCAGTATCGCGGCGGTGAAGACGGTAGCGGAGCCGTTATCCAAAGAAACCCCCCCCGAGGCTTACAGCATATAGTTTACACCGTCGCGATACCGACGCCATGCAGAAAGTTTGCCGAAGCTTCGCCGAAGCTATGGCGAAGCTTTGCCGAAGCTATGGCGAAGCCATTGGGATAAGTTAGTCGTTAGAGATGCCTGAGGTGCGGAGAGGTACTGTCGACACACGCACACACGCACACACACACACACGCACCATACCCCTTCCCCCCTCCCCCCCCAACACACACACACACACACACAGATGCGTGTCACGAGCGCCACACGAGAGTTGTTATGCCCTCACACTACCGGTAGGGTCAGGGAGGTACTGCTGTCGAAAGTATATGGAGAGGTTCCGTCCGAAGGTATTTGGATCGCGTGTGGGTGGTATGAAGAAAGCTGCTGTTACTCATAGGGAAGCTATTACGGAAAGAAAAAAGGCCCCTATACCCCTGCAAGCATAGCTACCTGATTGCAGGGCTATACGCTTCTTTTCCTTTCCTATACCCCTGTAAGCATAGCTACCTCTATTGCAGGGGTATACGCTTCTTTTCCTTTCCGGAATAGTTTCCCTACGAGCTTAGCAGTAGTGGCAGGTAGGGTAGTGAATGGTCAAATTGAGAGAAGAATAGGTAGTGAAAGGTGAAATTGAGAGAAGAATAGGTAGTGAAAGGTGAAATTGAGAGAAGAATATAGCTTGAGGAAGGTAAAGAAAAAAAGAGGAAAAGAAAAAGAAAAACTATATTTACCGAAAAAAGCTTGAGGAATGTAAAAAAAACATAAAAAGAAAAAAGACAAGAAGCTTTTTTTTTTTTTTTTTTCCGGGCAACGCAAAAGTTTTTTGAAGCTATCTCGAAGCTATCTCGAAGCTCCCTCGAAGCTGTTTCGTCAGGGGAAAGCAATCGCGTCAAAGCTATTCGCTATCTTGAATCTACCTCGAAACTGTTTAGTCAGGGGACCGCAAAGCTATTCCCCGGAAGCTATCTCGAAGCTATTCCGAAGCTGCTGGCTGTTCCCGGGAAGCTATTCCGGACTATAGCTACCTCGAAGCTATTCCC